ATAAAAATACAGAATGACATGCAAGTATCATCGCGGAAATTTTTGTGGGCATGGAAACATTTCACACAATTAAGCAAAAATAAAATACAATGCAATTATTGTAAACATATTTATCAAAATTCATATATTACGTTATTCATGAAACGTCATTTACATGATTTACATAGTCATCATATATTAAACGACTGGAAAAACTTCCCAAATACTTCCTTGACATGGCAATATTATATTAAGGAAAAAGAATATACCGCAAGATGCAAAATTTGTTGTAAACTTTTAAAGCATGCAAATAATCTGAGAAAATTACAACTTCATTTGTTTCGAATGCATAAAGACAAAATAATAGAGATACAAGAAGTGATTAAATGTACCTGGTTAAAACAATATTTCGCGTTCAACAAGTATGATGATAGAGCAAAATGCATTTGTTGCGAGCACAAATTGACAATATTTATCGGAACAAGCTTAGACACTCACTTAAAAATCTGTCACGGCATAAATGAGAATTCGAGATCTAACGAAGGAAACGAAGGAAATAATGCATACTTAATGATGCAACAATCAGTGAATAACAAAAGTGCCGCGAGTACAAATTCTCATGGAGCTGGATCATATTCACAGATTATAGAAAATGAAGGAAAACAACAACGGTAAATGTTACGATTAATATTAATTATTGATTAATATAGATTGAATTTTCTATATGTGTGATTTATAATGTATAATCTAGATTTAGATATAGAATACTGTATAAAAGTGTAATACATTTCATTTGATTACATTTATATAAATCTTAATCAAAGATTTAACAGAGATATTACATAAATTTTATAAATACTGTAACAAAGAATTTATATTTAATCAAATCGATATCGAAGAATGCTAAGATTTCCATTTATTTAATTAATATTTAAAATGCGTAGAAATAATAAATATTAATTACATTCGTTTTCTAATTCTTATTACTTCTTCCTTATTTCTTTTGGTTCTTTCTCATGTTCAGAAATATTCAGTAAATAACATATGTAAGGAACAAAAAATAAAAAATGCTTATTTATTTAAAATAATGTTATACAAATATTAAATTA